CCTTCCTCTCTCTCTCTCTCTCTCTCTCTCCCCCTTCTGTATTTCCCGCTCGCTGGAAAATTTTCGGTCTACGGATCAAAACGACGGAAGAGAGAGGAGTTCAAAATGAGTCAAAACAAAAGCAAAGGCCTTCCAGCGTTCATGTGGCAGGGAAGGGGAAATAGGGGTGATCGGGGTTTCGGAACCGTCTGATTCCATTTTCAAATAGTCAATTTTCATTTTCTGACACCACGAATCGAACCAAAATCATCGGTTCCGGTTTGAACGGTTATTATTATTATTTTATTAAAAATAATTTTAAAATATAAAATATTATTATATATCTATAATTTTATTTTAAAATTTTAAAAACAAATATATAACTATAATGAGTATAGTAACATAAAAATTTTTGATATAAAAACATAAAAATTATAATCAAATAAATAACATTATCACGATTCAAACCCAAGTTTCTTCGATTTAAAACCAACAATTTTTTTTGTTATATTTTTTACTTTTTATTCTACTTAACCAGTTTAAAATCGAAACTAATGGTTGTTGATTTGGGGATTTGATTTACTAGTTAATTTTTATATAAATTTTAATCCTCTTGTTATTTCTGCAATGGTGAAATAAAGCAATTTTAATTTTTTAAATAAAATACGTAAAAATATTCATATATATGTTTTCATCGTTACCAACATTTAACAGATACTAATAGAGAATATAATTTCAATTAATAATAAGCCTTTAGAATGTTATATATGTGCGTTGCGATATACATACGAAATTTATAATTAATACTATATATATATATATATATATATATATATATATATATATATATATATATATATATAAATGTCGGTGTGACTTTGTTGTTGCATTTGGAGGATGCACCAACAACAGCAAGATGGCACTTTTGCTACCAACCCAATTCGCTTACATTTCAAGTCATCCAAGTAGACATGGATACAAATCACCCAATAAATTCACGAGTATGAAAACTTTCTAACATTTATAAAGCTAATAAATTTGGCAAAAGGTCTTCTACATATTCACAGAATATGTAACAATAATAATACCTTTAGAAAAAACAAGTAAAATTTAGCATAATTTGAAGGATAAACATGTTATAAGTTAATGTCATTTGGGTATCAATCAACTAAAATTCGATCATTATGATTTCTAATGAGATATTATAATAATGATTGAATCTCACCCTCGCTCTTTACTGGGAACTATCCGATATGGATTTAAATATAAATCTAATATCAAATGTGTTTCGTATAATCTCAATTGGAGTAGAAAGCGGATTCAGTTGAATAGCATCAAAATTTAACTAAAAGGAATCTTGCCGAGCAAATTTTAGGTGAAAGAAAAAGACGCAAGATGAGTTGTGCACGCATTAAATGAGTAAGACTTCAAACAGAAGTCGGTGGAGTATGATTTAAGATGGGTGGTTGGACGACTGGTGGTGGAGATAAAAGAGTAGAAGTTTTGGATGGTTCATAGAACTATGTGGCCAAGCAACAGACAAGATTGCATGGTGATGCCACCAAAAAGTAGATCAGATCAGGTTCAGGGACAGGTGATCTAATTAAGGGTAAAGTATAGACCAAGTGGGAATGCTGCTATCGCAGGAAACTGAAGACACCATATAAAATGATTAAAGGAGAAGAGACATTGTGAAGAATGACTTGCACATATGTTAAACTAAATAGGTTTCAAGATCCATATCACTTAGTGCCACTCATTGTACACAGATCCAAATTGGCCAACCAGCATTCCCGGATTCCACAAGCATCTCCATAAAAGACGCTGCATCATCACGAGAAGTTTGCCATCCTAATGAGAGAGGCCTACAGCCACTTCTCCTTGCGCCTGTGAGACTCTAATGTGCTCATCACTTGCCAAAGTCAAAGGCAGAAAGATGGATGCAATAAATATATCGTAGGCTCTGCCAATCCTTTTCATGTGCAAGCTATGCATGAATCAAATATAAGTTTATGGTGCAAGTCAATTAAGAAGAAGAGCATTACACAAGTATTGATTTCAATCTCATGATCCGTTGTATTTATCTCTAATCGAGTCTACTGTTTGTTCATACACGGATGAGACTGTTAATTTTGTAAACCAATAGATCATATCAATTAAGACATTTGAATGGAGACAAAACAATTATTGATTCCACTATCATCCAATCAGTTGAGCTACTCTTAGTTATGCATCGAGTTGTGGCCTTATTTATGCTAAGCTTTATGTTAGACAGGATACATGTGAACGGCACAGTTGAGTTTTCCCCTACACGTGAGATTGTGACGGAAAGAAAGCATGCAGTTTTTTACCTCTTTTCGTGGAGTCACCACTAGCATACGATGCTCTTCTGGTTGTCTCTCTATAAATTTCAGCTCTCGAGCATCTCCATCGTCCTCGCGTAGACATGGCACTGACTGGAACTGCAGATGACAGCAAAGGCAAGAACACCAAGTGCAAGCTACTCACAAAGGATTCGATGGAGAAGATGGTAAGGCTTCCAGTTAAGCTGTGGCTGAGTGCACTGGAAGTGGGAAGAGAGGACCCAAGACGGCTTATCCATGCCCTCAAGGTGGGCGTCGCATTGACACTCGTCTCCTTATTGTACCTCTTGGAACCACTGTTCGAAGGAGTCGGACGGAATGCGATGTGGGCCGTGATGACTGTGGTTGTGGTGCTCGAATTCACTGCAGGTGATTGATCTCTCTTGATCTGTAGGTTGCAGAGTGAGTGCTTCCCTTCTAATATGATCAGCTTCCTGTGTTCTCTTGGTGGCATCACAGGTGCAACTCTGTGCAAGGGAGTAAACAGAGGAATTGGGACACTGTGTGCGGCATCTCTTGCATTTGTGATCGAGTTCATGGCAGAAAAGTCAGGCAGAGCTTGTCGCGGCGTTTTCATAGGAGTATCTGTGTTTTTAGTCGGTATAATTCTGGTTTGCTCAATCTACCGCTGACTAACCTTCTTCTTCAAATCCTTCAGAAACATGTGTTGCGTTCCATCTTGTAGGATTCTTCGCGACGTACTTGAGATTTGTCCCTTACATAAAGAGGAACTACGATTATGGAGTGGTGATCTTTCTGCTGACCTTCAACCTGATAACGGTGTCGAGTTACCGCGTGCAGAACGTGTTGCGGTTGACTCGCGATCGCCTAACCACCATTGCCATCGGCTGCGGCATTTGCCTCTTTATGAGCCTCCTCGTTCTACCCAAGTGGTCCGGTGAAGACCTGCACAATTCCACAGTCTACAAGCTTGAAATGTTAGCGAGATCCATTGAAGCTTGTGTGAACGAGTACTTCCGGGATCAAATTCAAGATGACGGCAAGTCATCGAAGGACCAAATATACAAGGGATGCAGAGCAGTGTTGGACTCCAAATCCAGTGATGAGTCTCTCGTAAGTGGTGGATTCCTCCAAGTTTTGATCTATATGCTGATGTGGTTTTGTTTATGGATCAAATGCGAAGATGATGATGATGAGCATTCTCAGGCACTCTTCGGAAGCTGGGAGCCGAGGCACTCCAGACACTGCTACAGCTTTCCATGGCAACAGTACGTGAAGCTTGGTGCTGTTCTGAGACATTTCGGGTACACAGCCGTAGCACTTCATGGATGTTTGGAATCAGAAATCCAGGTGGGTGAATGCCATCATTGAGTCTTACGGACCTCGTTCATTCATACCGCCCATCTTACTCCTTTCTATGTTGTCTCTGTTGTAGACTCCACTATCTGTAAGATTGCTCTTTCGAGACCCGTGCAGCCGCGTCGCTGGTGAGGTGTGCAAGGTGTTCGATGAGCTCGCGCGGAGCATAAGAAACCGCCGTCACTGCTCTCCCAATGTGCTCTCCGACCACCTTCACGAGGCGCTGCAAGACCTGAATTCCGCCATCAGGTCCCAACCGCGTCTCTTCCTTGGCTCCAAGAAAGCCCGTCCCGCCGCAAATGAGCGCGCGGAGGATTGGAGACCCCAAAAAAACACATCTGCCGGTGTAGCTCTGCCTTCGGCCATGTCTGATATCACATCACTGCAGGAATGGAGGGGCAAAAGGGTAGAGTCAACTGAGAGGAAGGTCTTGAGGCCAACCCTGAGCAGAATAGCAATAACTAGCCTTGAATTCTCGGAGGCACTGCCATTTGCAGCGTTTGCCTCGTTGCTCGTGGAGATGGTGGCCAGGTTGGAGCTTGTCATTGAGGAGGTGGAAGAACTCGGCAGGGCAGCAAATTTCAAGGAGTTCTCTCAGGCGGATGAAATCGCCATCGAAATGGGATTTGATGACAAGAAGCCATGCGTGAATGGCAAAGATTTCCAGAGCCATGTGGTACACCAAGCAGCAGAGTGAACGGAGACTGGCTTCCATGTCATGTTAAGTATTTTTACTGCACTTGTCCGGGAACGAGAATACAGCAGCTTCCATATCACGGTGTCTACACAAGTGCATGATCATATCATAACAACAGTGTATCCGTTGTTAAGAGTTTGTTCTCGTTCGATGACGTTGGTAGGCGTTGCTGTCGTCCAATAAAATTGCTATTGAAGCTTGAACAATGGATTAAAGCTTAACAATTTATTTCACTCTGATCGACTAATTTAAGCAATAGATTCAAAGTCATGTAAATGTAATGCTAATTTTGACATAATAACCTCCAAGAAAACAAAGGAGTAAAAACACCCTATAAGAAATATAGGAGATTAAGGTCTATTTTAGTCCATGTAATCTTAGTCATAGATTACTCATATCTAAAATAACATATATATTTTAAAAAACGTAGTATATAAGCTCATCCCGTCAAATATGAGTTCACAGACATTATAGTATGTTTATGTCATATGCTAACTCACAATAAATCATTAATATAATGATTCATGTAATTTAAGTTTAAAAAA